CCTGCTGGGCTCCAGCGATCCTTCCGCCTCAGCCTTCTAAGTAGCTGGAATTACAGGCGCACACCACCACTCCTGGCTAATTTTTGTGATTTATTGTAGAAATGAGGTCTCACCAATTTGCCCAGGCAGGTCTCGAACCACGGGCTCAGGCAATCCACTCACCTCAGCCTCCCAAAACGTGGGATTACAGCCTGAGGCACCGAGCCTGGCTCTGGGTTCTTTCTGAGGGACTCTTTGCACCTCCAGGTTCTAGGCTTGTGGTTCAATTCATGTGAAGGTGTAAGTGAGCACCTGAACAAGATTCTCAGGCCATGGGAGAGGCACTGAGCTCCCTGACCCCAGATTCCCTCTCAGCTCAGTAGCTCTCTGTCTCTGCGGGTTCACTGGGCAGACAGCATATGTTTACCAGGTCATATGCTTACCAGGTCGGGTGTGGAAGGGGGCACTCAGGAGAACAGGACATTGGCTTCAGGGAGCGTACAATTCAGTTCAATTGTTTTTAAAACTTTCCCATGTATAATACTTCCTTGGGGAATGTGTTAAAAATGCAACACCCTTGGGGAACTTGTTAACAACATGGGCCCTCCCCCTCAAATTTGGATCTGGGAGACCCTAAGAGGCCTATAGGACTCTGCATTTTGAGCATGCATTCTAGGGGATTCTGACACATATGGGGCTCAGAGCAACCCCCTCAGATTGTTCCTCTCCCTGCCGGCAGGCTCCTTTTGTGGCAGGCCAGATGGACCACTGTCTGGAGAGCGGGGCGTCTTCCTGGTTGATTTCAGTCCAGTGAGCATGACCAGGTGAGCTTACAGTGATGGCCAGCCAGCCGGGAGGCTGGAAGGGAGCACGTAAAGGTCTGTAGCACAGCCACAGGGAGAGGTCAGTTGTGGATGGTCTCATTCACCAAATCTGACTGTTGAAGTAAATACGAGCATCCTAAGCTGATGAAGGTTTTGTTGGTGGTGTTATGGGTCAGCTAGGCTTGATTGTTCTCTTATTTCAGAAAGGATTAAAGGCAACTTCCAAAAGATACATACAGCACAAGGTAGCATACATTCAAAACAGGGAAGAGAGCCGGGCTCAGTGGCTCAGCCTGTAATCCCGTGCCTTTGGAAGGCTAAGGTGAGTGGATTGCCTGAGCCCGCGGGTTTGAGACCCGCCTGGTCAACTTGGCGAGACCTCATCTCTACAATAAATAAAAAATCAGCCGGGCGTGGTAGCGCGCACCTGTAATTCCAGCTACTTGGAAGGCTGAGGCGGAAGGATCATCTGAGCCCAGTTGGTCGAGGCTGCGGTGGCTGGGAGTGGCCACTGCACTCCAGTCTGGGCGACAGAGTGAGACTCCAACTCAAAAAAAAAAAAAAAAAAAAACTCAGGGAAAAGGGTCAGGCTCAGT